CCAACATGAACAAACACACACAAACAGATTATGGCCCAAGATTGAAGGGAGAACATGCAGATAATCGAGGCGCTGGGATTAATAATGAGATTAGGGGAGTGGGGGGGTTGGGGGTGGGATTACAGCTGCCACTCCGACGTTAACAAACACAATTCCCAACAGACAGCGAATGAGCAAAACAAAGCTGCCTTAAGAGGATTGGAGGGCTTGGCCATTGTGACTAAAACTATGTCTCAGATTGTCTTGCGCACAGAGAATTAGGATGACATTGACAAAATGGAAATACAGGCATGCATATTTTCCTGGTGCCTTTAGTCACACACACTCACATAAATTATGGATCTATGTGAACAGAGTAAGGGTTTGAAGCCTCTGAAAATGTGGCTTTTATTTTAAAAAGTCATGACTGAATAAGTAACATTCAAATTTAAATCCTTAGATATTATTTATTAATGGCATTAAAAAAGCCAACATGTTTACACCACTGTAGGTCTACAGACAAACAAGTACAGGTATTACCTGTACAGAAGCACCAGCCAATGAGAGGCAGTTACCTGACCCAGCTAATAACATGTGATACATGTGAACAGGTGAAACAAATAACATCATCACAGATGAGATAACACAGGAAGCGAGTTTTATACTTCGTGAAAGTACAGTGTCCAAAAACAGGTTTGCACGTAGGCTGTAAGAATACAAGGAATGAGGTAACTGCCTTCCATTGGTGAGGCCACACATGTTTAAAGTAGCGGTTCTCAAACCTTTTCTCTCATGTCCCCCTTCAGAAACCAAAAAAAGTTCACACCCCACGATTTTCAGCTATCATGAACAATGATAGAAAAACCAAAGCTAATAAGAAAGTCTAAAATAATGGTTAGCGTGATAGCATCAACAAACTCTTGTTTATTTTCCGTACATGAATCATATTCATTCTTTGCTCCACTCCATATGTTTCCCCTGTTCATCCACACCTCACCTGCAGTGGCTCTGTGCCCCACTTTTGCCCATAGTTTGAGAACCACTGGTTTAAAGCTCCAACAAAGACCTACAGTGATCAAAACATACATACACTAACACTAACATACAGACAGTTATAGGCAAGTTACTTGTAATCAATTACTTATTGGACAGCCAATTACATACTAATTATACAACAGCAAGAGTAATTAGTTACATTACCGATTACATTAACATCATTGCTCAAAGTGCCTTTTAAAGAACTCCAAGTCTCCATAGAAACAAGTCTTAAGTATTTGTAGGACACAGAATTTGAAAATGAGACACTGTAGTTTAAATGATGGCACTCCGACCTCCGCCAAGGCTAATAGTATAGTCTTCCATGATATGCAAATGCAAAAACTTTAATTACAAGGGGTTCATGCATGCACAATGAATATCATTCATTTTACAATGTTAACGAAAGTGATCATTTATGTATCTGCCCCGTCAATCGGATCCACTCCAAAATGTAATGGGTTCTTCCTCGGCCTATGGTTAACCCTTTAACCCCATGGTCCCACCTTTGAGAAAGAAATAACGCTCAGGGCCACAATGTTTTACCTGCGTTCACTATTGCCTCAAACAACAGGAAGCTGAGAGACAAAACCAGATATTGGACACATATAGATCTTAGATCATCAGTCCGTTAACAGCTGTAATGGGAGACACCCACCCAGAGGTGCTTTTATAACAAGTATGTTCAAAAGCAGTTTATACTCAAAATGGACATTTATTCACAGTAGCAGAATGATCATTATAGCTTATATTTCTTTACAGATCATAGTGAGGAGACTTAAAAATTTTATTTGACTTAAATATTTGCGGGACACTGATTTTCATTACTATGCTTTACAACACAGACAGACACACAAGCACCCTCATGTGTATCTTCTTCCTTCTTCTTTTCCCTGTGTTTGCATGTTACATTAGCATTCTCCTAACATGTTTGTCTGCTTATGTGTTTCTTTGTCTCAAGGCAGTTAAGTGACATGTCCCTTTTTGATTTGCACGAGCTTCATGGATTGTACGTGAGCTGTGTAATTTCTAACTGCCTCCGCCTGTCCTCTTTCGATCCTGGACGAGAGCAACACTTGGATGAGAAATGAGCTGTCTACAGAACAGCAATGAGACGTGTGTGTCAGTGCGTGCACAGGATTTTGCAAACACACATCTTTGTGTGGTTTTGCAGGATCCACAGGGCTAAAACTCAGAATGTCTTGAGAAGCAGTTGAAGTGTGAATAACACAAACCAATGAAAAATGTGTGTATTAGGAGCAGAGAAATTGCCCTGGAGAAATACCTTGTTTCTCTGAGCTGTGTGTGTCTGTGTGTATAGTCTGCAGCGAGGCTGTGTGTACAATCTGTATATTTCATAATTGCTAACAACAGGTGGATTGAGTAAGGGGAATTTTTATTTTGCCTGAAAGAATGCAAGGCTTTCTCATCAGATTCATATACAGCTACTAAACAGGGAAGGATGAAAGAAGGGATATTAGAATCAGATAAATAAGAGAAAATGATTTGGGGCATGTGTAGAGCCTTGAAGATAAAATCCACCATCACCACATGTCCAAAATGTTGAAAAAACAGCCGTTGCTGATGAGCTGTATTTTACATTTTCTGGGTTAGTTCTGCCTGTTGGTGGTTTATTGTTCTTATCCAGCTGACTGGTGATTGCAGATGGCATGGTTAGATATCTTCTGGGTATGTGTGCAGATATGTGTTGGTATATGTATGTACATAGAGTCTGTATGAGACGCCCTTTAGATATGTGGTTAACATGGGACAGTCAAGATGGATTAGGTTTAAGCAACACAACTACTTGGTTAGGCTGAGGAAAAGATCAGGATTTGGGATAAAATAATACGTTATATGCTGTAAGTCGTTTCCTGGGTGAAAGTCCTTTGTTTGCAACCTCCTTACGCAGGCTTTCTCACTCTTTACATTATGTCAACAAATATTTAATTCATGCTCTTGATTTAATATTGTTGTTGGCATGAGACACCTGCTTTCAGGCTTTCTCCCTCAGCTGTCTAGGTTAACTAGGCTTCCTCTGCACACAGGGCTATATCTGAATATCAGGCTTTCTTCCACAGCCTAGCCCCGAGATTGGTGCATGAACATTGCAGAATGTTAAGGCCAGTTTACGTGGTTTAAGTTGACCGAGTCACACACACAAACATACACACAAATGCAAAACACCTTGTATGTTGAGCCTCTTTTGCTTAGCTCTACGATTGTGCAGAGTCTAAAGGGTTAGATTAATAAATCTTTATTAAACGGTTTTGGAAAGAAGTCATTATTCCAGAGTTTGTTAAATACTTGTAGCCATCACACAACAGCAGGAACATGGAACATGATGCATGTCTCCAAACTAATAATGGGGCTGTGTTCACTTTTACACATGTGGCACAGCAGCAGTAACTTCATTACTTATTCATATCATTAATAGTCCCAGACAGGATCAGTGAGGGTCTAACTGTAAAGTTGAGCTGTAACACAGCTTTATCCACTCAAGTCGTTTGGAATGAAGAAGCTGTCATCAGGATGAGCCTTGAGCCTCCATTACATCTGTCAGGGTATTTTTTTTTAAAGTAAAAGTCCAAACTCTGCTTCCTCTTGAGTTACAAAATATTTTTGTTCTCCTGTCAAATGTATTATAGGTAGTTTTCACTTACTGTATTTTCTGTATATTCTTGCTGTGTAAATAGAATGTCTGCTTATGTGTGTTTCCATATACTGGACGCAACCTCTCTGTTCATTAAAATAAATAAAATATGGCAACATATATTAGAATGTAAAACACTTTTGTACTGTATGATGACAGCTCCCACAGTTGGTACTTGTATTTGTACACCTTGTATTTACCATAAAATTAAGTCCAGAAAGATTGACTGAGCTCTATGCTCATCCTGTGCAGTGCACAGGATGGGGCACCTGAGAGACCCAAAGATTGTTGACACACCAAAGAATAGTCTGTCAAATTATTTCTTAAGCCAACAATAATTACTTTCGTATTACACTAATAATATAATATCACTGCAAAATTGCAGGTAAAAACAAATGTTTACCTCTACGCTTCTTAAGGGCCTCCAGATGTTGTGGCCCCGGGTTGTTTTACTACTGCCAAAGTTTGGACGGACAGTATTATGAGCTATGCTCTGCAACTTACTATTGTGGTCGCTTTTTACACGCATACATTAAACTCAACTGGATGCAACAAGCCTGTTTGCATCCAAGTTTGTTTTTTTTAGCTCCGTTCAAATGGAAATCTGAAATCTGAAACCTGTATGTGTTTGTTTTGTTTGTTTAAAATCAGTGACTGTCAGATAAAAGATGTAGTATGAAGCAAAAAGTCTTTATTATTTTCTTTTTTTTTCTGAAAAATATGGACACACTGAAGAATATGAGATGAATGGGTAAGATAAATTAGATAAAACAGTTAATGTAGTATGTTTGCAATATGGGAAAGATGCTAGAGCAAGTGGGGCATGATTGAAAGACAGATGGATGAAAAAAGGGATTTTGTATTCAGAAACCCAAGGATGAAACTTTGTTGAAGAGAGGAGGTGATAGGTTAAATTATGACACGAAGCGAAAGGACAAATAAGCCCTTTGTTGTGTGGAAATACAGAGAGAGGAGTTTCCTAGTGATGTAGTGATTCTCCCTGTGGTTTTGCCACTAATGAGAACATCTGCATCAGTGAAACAGACGGAGTGAGAGAGAAATAGCCGAAGGGGGAGGCTGTCTTGAGAGATATACAACTAGACTTAGAAAGAATGCAGAAAAAAATGGTCCAAAGACCAAAATACAGTAAGTGGTTCAAAAGAAGGGGTGGGAGATGGGATCAGAATAGTGTTTTCAACTTCCAGAGGACTCTCACATTTTTGGAACCAAAGAAGTAATCTTCTCAAGGCACGACACAAACAAACTCAGTCATCTATGTATTGCATTCACTAATTCATGTAATTTTGGCTCTTGATTTCCTCTTCTTCCCAAGGTGCCAATGCCCAGCTCAGTTCGAGGGGCCTGAGTGCCAGCAGAACAAGCACAGTTTCCATGGCAACGGCTATGCCTGGTTTCCTCCCATAATGCCTTGTTTTGAGAGCCACGTGTCGCTGGAGTTCATCACGGACGTGGTTGATGGACTGCTGCTGTACAGCGGCCCCTTAGCCCAGCTGCAGGCCTGGGACCACGAGGACTTCATGGCCATAGGTAGGAGACATCTGTAGCTTAATAACATGTCCTATCTGGCTCTGATTCATAATTCTTCACTATTTCACAACAACTGTAATTGAAACGAGATAGAGGAAATTGCTTTTACTTTGTATCTCATTTATTTAACCTTCCTGGACCAGCGGGTGAATGTCCTCAGAACAGAACATTTATATGAGACCAAAAGCTCTCAGAGAGAAGCAGATGAGGGAATCCGAAAAGACTGCGTTACCCTCAAGTGCAGGAACTGCAATAGCAACAGTGCATAAATTACATATTATTTAGCATTATCTTGTTTCGACAATAAAAAGAATGGTTTGACTCCATGCTGTGAGAAGAAGCTCTGTTGCCTAAGGGAGGTATTGACTTCAATCAGAATCAGGTTTGTTGCAAAGTAAGTTTTTACATACAAGGAATTTGTATCGTTATTTTGGTGCATAACATAGTAAGAGAATATAAAAATAAAAAGCAAGTACTGCAAAAGTCAAGAAACAAATATAAAATTGAAAACACAAAATGTACAATATCTGTTTTTCGAAATGAAAGAGCTGTACAGTTTTTGTCCGATTATGCTAAATATTGCCCAAGTAATGTGTAAAGGTTCACAGTATGAAGATATATAGAAAATGTGCCATGTGCAGAGATTATAATCTAAAAGATTTGTGTTAAAAGTGCAGTAAGTGAAACCTTTGTTTTGGCCAATTTCCTATCCATTCTTGTAGTTAGAATGTCCCACACAGAAACTCTTTGTCGAGTTCTCTCTCCTGACTGGATAACGTAGGAATGGGATACCAGAAAATGAATTATCTGTTTACTGCAGAAAGGAGGGACTTGGAGACACACATTACTGATTGAACACTGTATATCAGTGATGGCTGTCAGAATAAAGCTATTTAACACTTATTTTAACAAAAAAAAGAGATGTAAAGTACAAATGAACAAACTGTAGAAATACACCGTACTTCACCTCCCAAATTCCCTTTTTCACTTAGCCTAAAGAGTACGGATTGTTAGTAGACAAGAACGGAAATCCATTTCAGGTCCAATTCCCTGTGTGTATTAACTTGCCACAACATGAGGATTAGGCAGTGACAGTGACTCTTGCACAATTGCACACACACACACACACACTGTGTGATATTGATCTTATTAAAGCTGACATCCCATGCATTTGTATGTGTATTACTTTGATTCCCATTTAAACGTGATTGCTTTTACACAAATGCTAATTTAGAGGAGAAGGAGTAGATGTGCAGTGGTCAGTCACTAACACACACTCCTGCTGCTCACTGTGATCTGAAAATATGTGTAAACTGAGCTTCAGCAGGTTTACGTCTCCAGCTCTTAAGGGAAAATGTTGTTTCTTTTGTTGCTTTGGTAATATTGTTGAAGTTTGAAGACAATAAAGCTTGCTGAACTGACGGCGGCAGGCAGGAATTATAGACGGACTGAAACACAGAACAAAATGTCTTGAACATCTCGGTATATTTAGTGTTTTAATCTGAGAGACTAACGCCTCCTTGTCTCTCTCGCTACTTCTTCCCTTGCATTGGTCCTCTCTCTTGGGAAAGATGCTGTTGTTCCATCACTGCCAAAGTAATATGTGTGGGAGGTGAGGTCTGCCTGGAGAGCCGAACGTGTTGTGTGTTTGTGTGTGTTTGTTTGTGTGTGCGTGTGAATGTGTGTGTATGTGTTATAAGCAGGTTTGCAGTGTAAATCCTGAATTATTTCTTTAGCTTTATTTGGTGTCAGAGGGTCTGTGTGGCATCTGAAATCTAGCCAGTGTGTGTTATTGGATCCTAAAGAGTTAATAAGTTTGTGGAGTTAAGGCTGATTTGTCACTGCACAGAGTGTAATTAGAGTCAGGCTGTACATATTTAGAGCTCTAATTAACTTGTTTCAAGGTTCACCTACTGCATGTAATAAATCCACCGGCAAGCTTAGACTGTGCTAGACCTTAATATAACTGCATTAATGTATGTGTATGCATAGTGATAATAATGATAATCATAAAATGATTTGTAACGGCCTTCCAATATATGCGGATAGAAGCTGCATATACAGTGGGTACGGAAAGTATTCAGACCCCTTTAAATTTTTCACTCTTTGTTTCATTGCAGCCATTTGCTAAAATCAAAAAAGTTCATTTTATTTCTCAT